ACTTCAAAAGGCTTACATTCTAGGAAGGGGGTTAGACATGCAAGTAAAATAAAGCACAGCATGACTACTGAAACAGTAGAACTCTAAAGGATCCCACCAGCGTGGAGAGGGGGGTTATGAATGCCAGACTCTGTGGAGAGGGGAGGTGTGTGCAGCGGTCTCCTGGCGAAAGTGGTGTCCGAGTGAGGGTTCAAGGATGAATGGGAGTGCCCTGGGGCATGGGCTGCAGCACTGAAGGGGCAGCGGCCAAGCCAGTGGATTAGTGAAATTATGCCTGGTTTGGTAACGCCGGACTATAAGGACTGAGGTCAGTTGTGGCAGGAACTAGAGGTAAACCAGATGGGACGTAAAAATCTTTGTGAAAATCAGGCTGAGGAATCTGAGCTGTCTTGGGACTTGCCAATAGGACAGCAGCATGGTCAGAATTACCACCCTGATTTATGGTTTTAAGTGCTGACTTGACCTCACGTGTTTAATCTCTTCCTGTCCTCAAGCTCACATGTCAGTTACAACATTTTCAGTTACAAGTAACACAGAACTCAACTCACATGGTTTAAACCCAACATGGATGAACCTTGAAGATATAAGCCAGTCACCACAAGACAAATACGGAATGATTCCCCTTACATGAGGTACCTAGAGTAACCAAATCCATAGAGACAGGAAGTAGAGCGGGGGGTCGCCAGGGACAGGGGGAAGAGGGAACAGGGAGCTATTGTTTACTAGGTACAGTTTCAGTTTTACTTCTGGAGACGGATGGTGGTGAGGGTTGCACAAGAGTGAAGGTACTTAATACCAGTAAACTGTACACTTAACAGTGGTTAAAATAAGTATCTTATGTATATTAGTACAATACAAAAAAGTACCAAAACAAAATGGCTTAAACCAAACGGAAAACATTATTTCCTAACAGCTTCCTTGGTAGAGCAGCTTCAGACTTGGTTAGTTGTTGATTCAGCAGTATCAAAAAGGACCCAGGTTGTCTTCAGCTGCCCACTCCACCAGCCTCCACCCACCTGCTTCCTCCTCAGCCAACTCCCCTCGTAAGACAACTGCCCCAGTCAGAAATTTCTTTCCAACAGACTCACAGCTATGGAGAACAAACTAGTGGTCACCAGTGGGGAGAGGGAAGGAAGGTAGGGGATTAAGAGGCACAGACTAGGGCTTCCCTGGTGGCACAGTGGTTGAGAGTCCGCCTGCCGATGCAGGGAACAAGGGTTCGTGCCCCGGTCCAGGAAGATCCCACATGCCACGGAGCAGCTGGGCCCGTGAGCCACGGCCGCTGAGCCTGCGCGTCCGGAGCCTGTGCTCCACAACGGGAGAGGCCACAGCAGTGAGAGGCCTGCGTACCAAAAAAAAAAAAAAAAAAAGGCACAAACTACTATGTGTAAAATAAGCTACAAGGATATGTTGTACAGAGCAAGGAGTGTAGCCAGTATTTTATCATAACTTTAAATGGAGTATAATCTATAAGAATTTTGAATCACTGTGTTGTACACCTGAAACTAATATTATAAATCAATTATCCTTCAATTAAGATAAAGAAAACAAATTTCTTTCCAAAAGAGCATCCAAGAAAAGAGACCATCTAAGAGCAAGAAAGGCTTCCAAAATCACGTATTCCTCAACATCCCCACTTGAATGTCTAATAGCCATTTCACCTGCAGCACAGCCACAGCCGAGCTCCTGATGTCCTCCTCCCCCACCCTCTTCTCACCATCTTTCAGTCTCACTAACTGGCAGTTCATTCTTTCTCCAAACCACTCCTGTACTCAGGCCAAAAACCTTAGAGTCATCTTAGGCCCCTCTCTGTGTGTCCCACCCTACATCCATCAACAGATTCTTTTGACTCTGCCTTTAAATGTTTCCAGGGTCCAGCTACTCTTCACCACCCTGACTCTGCTTTGAGCCACCACCATCTCTTATCTGGATTATTGCAATAGCTTCTTAACTGGTCTCCCTGTTTCTGCCCTTGGTCACTTACTCATTCATCGAACAGATATTTCAATGAGTACTTAATATATGCAGGCATTGCTCCGGGTGCTAGCAATTCTGCAGGTAAAAATCCCTGCCCTCCTGGAGCTTTCATTCTGTTCTCAAAATAGCAGTCAGAGTGATCTCTTTCAAATGTAAGTCAATCATGTCACTTCTCTGCTCAGAATTCTTAGATTTATGCTGTAGTCTGTACATGTAGGTGATGAGGAAAAGCACATTTTAATCTCAGGGTGCCTGTGCCTCTGACGAATGCTGTCATGTCACAGAGCATAGTTCAGTTTGAATGTGAACTTTTAAAGTGCAGAGAAAGAGGATGAAAAAAATAGTTTCTGGCATGCAGGATTCTAGAAATAGAAAGCACTGCATTGAATGACTTCAGAGGCATCTATGTAATAGAGTGATCACTCCAGTAATGATTTCTTAACCACCTGCCTCTCATCCTTTTTCCTTATTTTGCTGAATTCTTTGGACAAGTTGAGCTCTCAAAACACATTGAACATCTATTAAATGGATGTGCCCCCTCTTGAGTTTTTTTAAATTGAGCTAAGACGTACATGCAATAATGATCAAGATATACCATTTTTCAGCACTCCAGAAGACTCCCTTGTTCCCTCTTTCAAAGACTCCCTTGTTCCCTCTTTCAGTCCATATCATCTTCCAAATGTAACCAGTTAAAATTAGTTTTGCCTGTGTCTGAACTTTGCATTGATGAAATCTTTTACATCTGGTTTCTTTCATGCAAAATTAGGTCTGTAAGATTCATCCATGGCATTGCAGGTAGCTCTAGTTCTTTCTTTTTTGTTGCAGTATCATATTCCATTGTGTGAAAATACACAATTTATCCATTCTACTATTGATAGATATTTGGGTTATTTCCTGTTTTGGCTGTTATGAGTAACATGTCTTTTGTTGGCTGTAAGCATTCATTTTTCTTTTCACTCTGGGAGTATACTTGCTGGGTCATAGGACACGCTTACGGATATAGAACTTTAAGAGAGAGTGCAAACAATAAAGTGGTTGTACCCTCTGAGGGGTGTGAGATGTCTTCCTGGATCCGGTGGGTCTGAGCTGCTGCCTGACCCATTATTTGTTCACGTTTTTGTCTTCCCCCTGCTCTACCCCAAGCCACAGTGTTGAACAAAAGTAATGATTAGAACACAAAGACAAGGTTGAAATTGTGCAAGACGGAATATTAATAATCCTCGGATTAAAAGGGAAATTCTCCAGTGACCTGTTATCACATGACACGGTTCTGTTACCTTCATCACATCAGTTTCAGTTCCATTTTCTTAATACTTGAAATTTTTTTGAAAGAGGGGAAACAAAACACGGTAGGAAACCCTGTTCCTAAATAGTAAATGTTTGGGCTACAGAATTAGGCGAGACTGGGGGGGGGGGCTAGCAGTGATCTGATTTCATGCACATACTGATCGCTAGGAATACAAAGTGACGAACAAGATACATAGAGCTTCCACCACGTGGGGAGGCCGACCGGCAATCACAGTGCACCGCGGGGAGGAGCACGGTAAAGAGAAATGCCAGCGTCTTCCTTTACGTGACCGCTATTGCGCCGGAGGTGTGGGGTTTCCACACGTCACTCAGCTCTGCACCACCAGCCAGGTGGCCTACCATTGCCTCCGTTCTGACACTGTCTCCCTGGAGGTGGCATCAGACTCCACAGGTTACAGTTCGGTCCCGCGGGACTGACCCCACCTCAGATGGCAATTGCAAGTCTAGGTTGTCACTGTGCTTCTGACCGACGAGCTCCGGATCAGAGGTTCCCACGACCCCCTCCTTGGGTTCGATCAGTTTGCTAGAGGGCACAGCATGAGCCAAGCCTGGAAGCTAGGCAGAGCCCGACACGCCGGGAGCTTTTAGAAAAGTTAAATCTTCACTGGGGCTGAAGCATAGTGTTTCAGGGGAGAATAGTAGCAAGCAGTGAAGCTAGAAATATAATCAGATATCAGACCATGAAAAGCTCTAAAATAATAACAGCAGCAGCCAGTGTCCTGGAGGAATTGGCTTTTTCCAGACTCCGGACTAAGCACATATCAAGGACCATCTCATTTACTATTTAATATCCTTAAAACATAGGTACATTATTATAGATGATGAAATGTAATTAAGTAATTGGCCAAAGCTACAGCCCTTAAAATGACAGGTCTAGACCTTAAATCCGTATCTTTTGAATGATCAAAAGCCTGTTCTCTTAGCCACTCGTATAGCTAATACCACATAAGCCATGCTTTATCCTCCTAGGAGCTCAGCTTCTTAAATGTGATCATGTTTCGTTATAGCGGCACCATTTAGGATAATGATTCCTTTTAAAGAAAAAAACTTCACGGACCTTTAATATTGACTTAAATCAGCTAGTGTTCCTCAAATGGATGCAAATATAAAACTGACATAAACTCCTGGTACTTACGCTGCTCGTATATCAAAACAAGTATACCAATTAATACCCCCCCCAAAAAAATTAAAGTGAATGAAATGCAAATTAAGTAGCACTAATTTAATGCCACTGATGGTGTTTGGTGAAAATCGTTGCTCTGGATGAGTGAGTGGCACTGACACTTCGCTTGGTCGGGGCACCCTGGCTGCCGGCGGCTGTGGAGACTCCACTTCCCATACCTGACCTCTCGTTCAACCTTCCAGGAAACCATAACGCTGTCTCGCTTCACTTGGAGTGTGGACATCTCACACGTTAGATCCACCACTTCCCATTCACCTATAACACCTGAAGCCGTGCTGCATGGTACCCACAGGATTGTAAACCCACAGTCTCTGAAATACAGTTCCTGTGTTTTAATGCAACTTGAATTCAGAATGTTTTTAAAGTTCCAAACTTAATCAAATGAGGTTCGATCTGGAAAGGACTTTGGTCTGTGAATGAGAGTGGGAAAAGGAGGACGGCTACGAGGGGCACGTGTGCTGGCTTTTGAGGGCTGCTAAAGTAATGCTTAGTAAGAGACTCTTCTGACTTTTGTTTTTCTGCTTCTTCACAGGGGTTGGCACCAGGAATTATTACAGAAAGATTGGCTACAGATTGCAAGGTCCGTACATGGTAAAAAATCTAAAATAACCGCCACACCAGCGCACCTTGACACCTATCCTCCCTGGCAGAAAACAGAGATTCAGGATGTGTTGAACACTCAGCACAGAGGCTGAACGAAGCACATGGACCTCCCTGACCCCCTGACAAGGAGCCTCCCCCTCGCCCTCCCGCTGGAGCCACAGAGACTGGAAGCCGCACTCAGGGCCGGGCCGGGTGTCTGCTGACCAAGCCCACGGAGCCTGGGCGCTCAGAGCCCCCGCACCACGCCCTCCTGCATGTTCTCAAGACGTCACTTCCGTTTCGAGGCTTAAGTCCTGTATCCAATTTCTAAATTCTGCATGAGGCCTGCAAGTGACCTAACCATGACTCAAGCACAGTGACAAAAGCAAACTGATCATCTCATTTGAACTGCATGGTTTATGAACTAAAAACTGGCTATGTCATTTGAGGAGGACACTTAGTTTCTATCAGCAGGTTATTTATATCCAGTTTCTATCAGCAGGTTATTTATATCCTGTACAGACAAAACGCCAGGTTGGGACATGTGAAAACTGTCACGTTGATCTCTGACCTATAACTACATATGCCTTCCAGCACAGGTCAAGAAAATGAGCTTTTCTTTTCACGGACATCATTCTGGTTTGAAATAACAGTGTGATGGGGAGAGAAGAAGCAAGATTGTAGGCTTATGTTTCAAGCTTGAAACCAGCCTTTCACATTTTTAATCGTCTGTACTTTGCACACTCTTGACAATTGCAAAACACCGTGGGCGGCACTTTCTCCCAGAGAGGCGTTTGGCTTCCCCATTGGTCTGTCCTGAGCAGGCAGAGTCTGCCGTGCATGTGTCTGGGTTTGGGTGACATCTGTGGATGTCAAGAGGCACATCCACAGGTGCTGTTCCCTTTATTTTAATTCTTTAAATCGATTTTGGTTTGTTTTAAATGGAGAAAAATCAGGGTTAAACTTTTTTGTGAAAGCAAAAAAATGGAAAACTGGCCCAAATCTAAAAATAGGAAAGAGACTGGCTTTTTCAAAGTTTCATCTTTATAGAACTGCCTCTATGTAACTTCCAGGTAATCTAAGGAGACTCAGCCTGGAGAGGGTCAGTTCTTAAGAACATAGCTTAACCCTGCATCCCTTGGCTTCTGTGGCATTTTACAAAGGTTTATTAAATGGAATTGATTCTTCTAAAGGTTTGAAAAATAAAATCTTCAACATACAAGGAAGAATCACGTAAGGTTTTTTCCTCTCCCTGTAAACGCAGTGACATTTGCTGTGAGTTTACCGGTTTGGGTTTCCTGCCCGGGGCACTGTTTGTTTCTTCCTGGGTCCTGTTTGCCATTTTGTTAAACTGCTACAAGGCAAACGGCGTCGACTTCCTGTGGGCTCGCTGTGGCACTGCAGAGGCTTTCTGTGAGTGCCATTTAAGGAAGTCAGCTACTTCTCAATCTTGAGCCAAACTGACGATTATAGCCCAGAACACAGCCTCTCAGATAACTGAGGAACTGCCCCAGAGAAGCGTGGTTTTCAGCACAGTCTTGGGGGAAAAAAAAACAAAAAACAAAAAAGATCAGCACATACACAGCGAGTCAGTATGCTCTTGGCACCTGGGAAGGAAGTCTTGTCATGGAAGGAGTATCGGCATTGGCTTCCCAGCCAGAGAGGCATTTAATCTTCATGTTTAACATCGACATTCTTCCAGTCAGTGCGCCCTTTTCTTTAATAATTAAAGCAGACGCACAGTGTGTGTTTGATAGGCCACAAACAGGCTGTTCTGTTTAGCATCAGATTCAAGTTAACTCATGGATAAGCCAGAATGACTTCCCCAGACCTCGATACGTGAACATTTCTTTTACCAAGCCTTTCTGCCGCTAGAAGCTTCAGCTTCTCCCCTGACTGCCAAGCACTGTCCCCGGCATCTGTGGTGCCTGGCGCCTCCACAGCCCGGCTGGCCTGGCTCTCCTAGAGATACGTGCACTTGCTCAAATGACCACCTCGTGAGAAAGATCAGTTAGGCAGGATCCTGTCGGCCTCTGCGTGAAACGTTTAAAGCTGCAGCTTGTGTTTCTGATCTGTATTGAATGACTCCTTAGCAACCATCTCAGGCCCACTCACATAGCTCCGCTTTTGACTCAAGTTTCTGTTAAATCACCTGGAGGGGTTTTGTTGTTTTTAAATTATCAAAAACAGACCGAAATCTATTCAAATAAAAAATGAGACTTTAAAAATACATTATCGCCAAGTAAAAGGGCCTGGTAGAGCTCACTGTTTCCCCAACTTAGGAATGAATGTGGAGCCCTCTCAAAGGAAAACATGTCTGCTAACACAAACGAATACTGAAAAGTACAACTTAAAAGCCAAAGCCTGTTCTATGAAAACAGCTTTCGAAATGCAAGTTTTCATTTCCAAAGGTTTTTGTGGGTTGTTGTTGTTTTTTAAGATTATCATCTAATGAAAAACAAAATTTTGTTCATAAAGAACCCACAGACCCTTAAGCTGATGAAAGAGCTCAAGATCTAGGTTCTGAAAACCTGGGCTCCTTTATTAACTCTGAAGCTGTGGGCAAGTCCCCTCCCCTTTTTCAGCTACACACTCCCCCCCCCCTCCAATTTATAACATGAGAGAATCGCCCATCTGTCAGGGTAAGCGCAAGGTCCAGTGGGGTCCCATTTGAGAGACACTGCATAAACCACGACATTATGTAAAATGCGGTTAACTCCAGTGAAGAGGCTTCTCAACAGATGTGTGACCTCGAGCAAGAAAACTCTGCCTCTCAGCAAGTTTCCTGTCTGTAAAGTGGAAATGATAACAGTTTCTCCCCCGTGCAGTAGTTGTCAGGATTAAATGAGCTCACGTATGTCAGTTTCTTAGACCAGGGCCTGCGGAATGTAAAACACACTACAGGTACTGGCTATTATGACCAATATGTAACAAGTGCAGTATCTGGCCCATTTTAACATGGGAGTTTCTTATCTGTTGGCAGTAGAATCTTATTTTTTTGCTAGAATCTCTAACTTTTGCCTTCTCTCCCATCCTCTGGTCATTCCTTCTGTTTCATTCACGTAAGTCTAGGGTTACAAATTGTCAGATCCACGCTTTGAGGGACAAGAAACTAGCTGAGACTCTGCAACAGCAAAAAGCATTTCCAAATATCACTGTCATTCTGGGGGCTTCCCGGGAAGTCCAGTATTAGCATGGACTGCGGTCTCCCATGAGTGCGCACAGGTAGCCACATCCACTTAGGGAGTCCCCCGAGGGAGGCTGGCCACCTTCCGTGGCAGGGAGGAGAAGCAGTGCCCCATCTGTGCCTTAGGGTTGTGTGTGCCCTCTGTACGCTTGTGTTGAACTCCGTGCAGGCAGCTCCAGAAACTAAGCTTACAGACCTTTTAAAGAGTCTGATTTTAACATAGATTATCAAACATGCCTGTAACAAGGGGCAAACCAGTTGCTTTTCTACAGCCAAATGTGCAGCCTTATCTCTTCCTGTCTCCACATGCCTAGAATACCCTTCTGTCCACCTGGAGGACTCCTCCTCCAAGGAGGGAACTGCCATCTGAGGCCCACCATGTGCTGCTTCTCTATCTAGGCCACCCTTATGCACCCCTCGTGGTCAACGCTCATCTTCCCCCATTAACAAATGAAGACACAGGCTGGTGTCATCATGGCTGGCTGGGCCTGAAGCCCCAGGGCCACCACGTTGCCCATTAGAGTCGGCACCAGCCCTAAATGTCCACGGATCGCATACACATCCACGTGAAAGGTGCCCGCAGAGCAGCCCAGCACAGAAGCCCTGAGCTCAGCTATAGTACTAAGTGGGTTTAGGATTCCAACGCGAGTCACTGACTCGGCCTTTCTCCACTCCACCCCCATGTTTTCAGTCAGCTTATGTTTAAAGAAGACACAAGTATTGAGCAACAAGGCTGTGCTTTCATATTATTTCATCCTCACAACAACCTGTAACCTGAGTCCTGTCACCAGCCTGGTCTTCCCCAGTGCAGGTAGTGGAAGGGCATGATGTCATCAAGAGAGAACGCAGAGCAAAGGGAGAGTCTGCTCTTTCCGTTTCAATAAAAATAGCTTTTTTTGGTCCTAAAACTTATATATGCTCAATATAACAGATTGAAATGAAACAGAAAGGTACAAAATAACCTGAAATCCCACCATCAGACACTGGTAAGCCCTGTGATGAACGTGCTTCCATGCGTCTCACCCGCACCCGAACACACACAGCCATCAGTCACCTTTACGTAAAATGGTCACACAGTGCATGTCGCTTTGTAACCTTTTTCACTCCACAAAATGTAAGTAATACCAGCATCTTCCCGTGTCAGTACACACGGATCTGCTTCATCCTTTTTAATGACTACCTAGCTTCCCATTGTCTGCAGATCCCACACTTTAAGTGGGTCTTCTCATATCTTACATTCTTTTATATCCTCATTGTCACAATAGCTAGAATTGTGTATGAAGCATGGGGGCTGCATACACTCGTTGACTCAATACTAAGATTTGCTTTCGTTTTTTTCTACAAGCCTCACTCATCCGTGACAGGCTTCTGTGTCCCTCCCTGTGGTTCTTCGCCCCCAAGCCCTTCCATCCTTCACTGTTACCCACCTTCCAGGAGATGGGGAAGGAGCAACCTGCCTGCGGCCTGGCCGTGCCCCGGCAGAGGAAGCAGCACCTGCGGTTGGGAGCAAGTCCCATCACACAAAATGCCAAGCTCTGCATCACCGAGAGGTGCCGGAGCGTAACGTACTTTCATTGAGGTCAGAGGTGACCGTACCTTATCTCATCTCCCCTGATGGAAGTTACTGCTTCAGGTCACATTCCTCAACTGCTCAAGCCCTGCAGGGAAGGTTATCCTCTTGTTTCAGGGCCGATCTTGTCTGTGAGGTTAGCGGTATGAGCTAACCTCACAACATTTTTTTTTTTTTAATGGTATTTCAGGGCTCACATGCCCCTCTGTAACTCTCTCCCTTTTTTAAAATTAATATTTTTTTATCTTTGGCTGCTTTGGGTCCTCGTTGCTGCGCGCGGGCTTTCTCTAGTTGCGGCGAGTGGGGGCTACTCTTTGTTGCGGTGTGCGGGCTTCTCATTGTGGTGGCTTGTTGCAGAGCATGGGCTCTAGGTGCACGGGCTTCAGTAGTTGTGGCTAGTGGGCTCAGTAGTTGTGGCTCGTGGGCTCAGTAGTTGTGGCGCACGGGCTTAGTTGCTCCACAGCATGTGGGATCTTCCCGGACAGGGCTCGAACCTGTGTCCCCTGCATTGGCAGGCGGATTCTTAACCACTGTGCCACCAGGGAAGTGAGCCAGGAAGACGATAGTCCCTGCTGTCCAGCGGGGCGTGGGGAGGGGCCCGGCACTTGGCCACCACCCCACCCCACCCTCCAAGGAAGAGCCGGCATGGCATCCAGCTGCCTGGGTTTGCGGCTGGCTTCTGCCTCCATCTAGCTTTGCAAAAACTAGGGTCTTGGACCACCGCGTGCTTGGGGTGCTGGGGCAGTAGTTAAGGGACTACTTACGTCAACCTGAAGGAAGGGAAAGGAACGCTGGGGAAAGGGAAGGAGAAAGGGAAGAATATCTGAGCGGACAGGCCTGGTATTGCCCTCACAACAATCCTCCGAGGTAGGAATTTTGGCCCCATTTTATGAATGAGAAACCAAGGTTCAGAATGGTTAAATAACGTAACCAAGGCCACAAAGCTGGTAAGTGAAGAGCTAAGTATAAAGGCAACAGGTTGACTTTCGCAAACTCGCAAAGATTTAAGGACCCTAATACCTATGAGCAGTGGTGGCTCTAGAATTTCTAAAACCGATGGTTTCAGGCTGGCAATTGGGTTGGAAAGGGATTTTTTCTTCTTTTTTTTTTTTTGAAGCTATGTTTGCCTTGCAGATGCTCTTTGCTCTCCACCCCCATCAACCTCAAGCCACTTCTCACCACAACTGCCAGTGAGCTCTCCTTTGAAAAACAACTCGAATAAATACAGCCAAGAGACATATCCAAATAAGGAACTTAGGAATAGGAATAATACGGAAAGAGAACCAGCAGTAGGTAATTAATCCACTTAAATAGAGAGCTGAAACCAAGTAACTCTGGAAGTTACTCTCAGAGAAAAGGATGGACGCTTCCGAATTAAAATAGAGGAGTAAATGTGCACATCTAGTTTGGCTCCCAACCAAAGCTCACACAGACTAAAGGGGATTTCTTTTTTTTTTTTTTTTTTTTTAATCCACAAGGACAAAAGAGGAGACGAAAGTGCTAAGATTTTGGAAGCTCTAAAGCAGATGGACGACAGTAACTCAGTTGGCAGTTGAGACTGGATAGTGGAGAAAGTTCCAGTACAATTTAAGCCACAGGACCTGGCAACACACTGGAGGGAAAGGGAAGAGCCGGAGCAGGACTGACAGAGCCCCTTTACAGGTCCTGGGTCCCCTGGGTTCCCTCCATTCAGCACGTGCTCTGTTACTACCTCAGCAACAGACTGGAGGTGAATTAAGGGAGTCAAACAAGAGAGGATCTTTGGGTGAGAGAACTCCAGACGAAGCCGAAGGTCGGGGTAACAACTGAGAACAGGTTGATGAAGTGAACCCATGCATATTAAATAGTGAGTACTGAGACTTCCCGCTGTCTTCCCCAGCTCAGTTTTCAGAATGCTGACAAGATGTTTCCCCACAGGCCAGAAATTGACAGGCTCTTCTAGAGAATAACCAGCCCAAGAGGAAAGACTTAAACATACAATCATATAGAGTTCCTCAAGAAACAACCCAGACGGCAACTCCACGGCAAAATCAGTAAGCCCTGCTCTGATGGGCTGAATGTTTGTGTCCCCCCAAAAATGTATACATTGAAGCCTCAACCCCCAATGTGACTGAATTTGGAGATCAGGCCTTTCTGGAGGTAACTAAGGGTAAATGAGGTCACAGGGTGGGGCCTTCATTCAATAATATTAGACAAGAGACAACAGAGGACAGTGGCATCACCAAGACAGTGACACTATCCATTCCTATAGGCCTTCACTCCCCCTCAAGAAGAACTAACAGTTATTCATGGGCAAGACACCACTGAGAGAACCCTAGAACACAAGAGTGAGGCTGAAGCAAGCACTGCACTGCAGAGACCAAGACACCACATCAGAAGGGTAAGAGGAGCCGCTGCATGCTGACAGCACTGCCTCATCCCCAGGCTGGTGCAGTATCACACTGAGAGGTCGCCCCTGAGTCTACGGCGCCTCCAGTGGGAAAAGAGAGCCAAGGGTACATATCCAGCTCCCACTGTGGGTCCCTTCTTGGGAGCCCCCCACTCTGGTCATGCCCCACAGGAATTGCAGGGGTACCTGCAGGACTTGACCCCCGGGAATCTGATTGTGATGGAGAAGTGGGGAAGGGCTGGCAACAACCACCACTCAGATCTTAGCAGACCGAGTCCTACCTGTGGCGTCTGAGCAGTGGTCCCAACGACTGCAGCCGTTTTGTTCATCTGCAGAGCCAAGATGGGCACAGTCTGGCCCGGGAACTCGGCAGGATACAGGCTTGCCTGATGTGGGCCCTCAAACGAAGAGCTTTGCCAGCCCTGGAGGCTGGTCTGCCCTGGCCCAGGCAGCGGAGCTGAGTCAGAGCCCAGCCTACTGCTGAGTGTAGCTCCCAGCCCTTCCGGCTAGAAAGCCTGACTGGGGACACCTGGGAGGCTGCACAGCCCAGCAGTGCTCAAGCAGAGCAGGGGATATGGCAGGCAGAGCTGATGACCTGTAGAGCAAAGCCAGGGGCACCAACTGGCCAGGGAACTTGGGGAGTGGGTCAGCTTGAGTAAAGACCACAAACAAAAAGCCCTGCTGGGCTTGGAGAATTCCCCTCTTCACCCAAGCAGGAGAGCTAGACCATAGCCCCACCTACAGCTGAGTGTAGTTCCTGGCCTCTTCTGACCAGAAGGCCTGATCAGGAACACCTGGGAAGCAGCTACGAGCTGGCTTTTCCTCCTGCCCATGGAGGGGAGCCGAGTCAGCCCCACTCACTGATGAGTGTAGCTTCCAGCCCCACCTGACCAAAAAGCCTGACCATAACACCTGGAAGCTGTGAACCCAGCAACCCTTGAGCAGAGAGCTGGTGGTCTGCAGAGCAAAGCCAGTGGCCCTGTTCAGCCAGGGAACTTGGGGCATGGGTCAGGTTGAGTCAAGACCACATACAAAGAGCCTTGTAGGCCTTGGAACTGGTTCTCCCACTGCACCTGGGCAGGGAAGCTAATTTGTAGCCCCACCCACTGCTAAATGCAGCCCTCTGCTCATCCTACCAGAAAACCTGACCAGAGCACATGGGAAGCTGCACGGCCCACCCAATGGTCCTACTTGCAGAGGCACTTGAACAGAGAGCACACTCACAGCTTTCCCTGTCTGCAGAGCAAAACCAGAGGGCCCAACTGGCCAGGGAATTCAGCGCAGTCTTACCTGATTCAAGTCCCCAAAGAATAAGCCATGCAGGTCCTGGGGCCCATCCTGCTGCCCCTCCAAGACAGGGAAGCTAATTCATAGCCCCATCCTTTGCTGAGTAGAGTGCTCAATCCTGACCATCTAGTAAACTTGACCAGAGAACTGAGGCAACCAGAGAGCTCATCCTACAACTTTGCTTAGGCAGAGAACCAAGTTTGCTTGGGCAGGGAACCAAGCTAGTAGTCCTATCCAACTGTTCTCAGCCAGTGGCACAGCCCCATTCTGCCACCTCAGAGCTCAGGCAGTGGCCTCACCCAAAAATAGACCCTGCTAGCAAGTCTTACCTGCCCAAGAGCATTACCAGCACACACATTCAGAAACGTAAACTGAGCTGCCCGGTGAAGACCTGCCTCTGCCAAAGGAAACATGTCAAGTCTGGAAGAGGAGACCACTTACTCAGATGGACAAACACCAACATAAGGAATCAAGGATTATGAAAAACCAGGTAAACATGACACCACCAAAGGAAACCAATAGAGGTATGATAACTGACCCTAAAGAAATGGAGATCTATGAACTGTCAGACAAAGAATTCAGAATAATGCTCTTAAAGAAGTTTAGTGAGGGCTTCCTTGGTGGCGCAGTGGTTGAGAGTCCGCCTGCCGATGCAGGGGACACGAGTTCGTGCCCCGGTCCGGGAAGATCCCACATGCCGCGGAGCGGCTGGGCCTGTGAGCCATGGCCGCTGAGCCTGGGCGTCCGGAGCCTGTGCTCCGCAACGGGAGAGGCCACAACAGTGAGAGGCCTGAGTACCGCCAAAAAAAAAAAAGAAGTTTAGTGAACCACCAGAACACAGTGACAACTAAATGAAATTAGGAAAGCATTGCATAAACAAAATGGAAATTTCAACAAATAAATAGAAAACATCAAAAGAAAACAAACAGAAATCCAGGAACTGAGAATACAATGACTTAAGAAAATACGATTGAAGAGTTCAAAGGAGACCTTCAAAAGCAGACTTGACTCTGCAGAAGAAAGAATCAATGACCTAGAAGACAGGACATTTTAATTTATCTAGTCAGAGGGGTAAAAGGAAAAAAGAATGAAAAGTGGTGAAGAAGGCCTACAGGACTTATGGGACACAATCAAAAGAAGTAATATCCACATTATGGGAATTCCAGAAGAAGAAGAAAGAGAGAAAGGGACAAGAAGTATATTTAAAACAATAATGGCTGAAAACTTCCCAAACCTGGGGAGAGAAATGGACATCCAGATCCATAAAGCCCAGAAGATCTCAAGTAAGTTGAACCTGAATAGGTCTACTCCAAGACATGTTATAATTAAATTGTCAAAAGTCAAAGACAAAAAAAAAACTTTGAAAGTAGCAAGAGAAAAGAGAGAAGATTCACATAAAGAAAACTCAATAAGGCTTTTTAAGCCAGGAAGAATGCCATGGCACATTAAAAATATTGAAAGAAAAAAAACCTGTCAATGAAGTATTCTATACCTGGCAAAGCTGTCCTTCAGAAATGAGGGAGGGTTAAAGACTTCCCCAACAAGCAAAAGCTGAAGGAGTTCATCACCACTAGACCTACCTGACAAGAAGTGCTAAAGGGACTTCTCTGAGTGAAAGTGAAAGGATGCTATTTAACATACTAAAAACATAAGAAGATAGAATAAAACTTGCTGGTAATGGTAAATATATAGTCAAAGTTAGATTTTGTGATATGATAATGGTGGTGCATAATTCACTTACAATTCTAGTTTAAAAGTTAAAAAACAGCGCTTCCCTGGTGGCGCAGTGGTTGAGAGTCCGCCTGCCAATGCAGGGGACACGGGTTCGTGCCCCGGTCGGGGAAGATCTCACATGTCGCAGAGCGGCTGGGCCCGTGAGCCATGGCCGCTGAGCCTGTGCGTCCGGAGCCTGTGCTCCGCAACGGGAGAGGCCACGACAGTGAGAGGCCCACGTACCGCAAAAAAAAAAAAAAAAAGTTAAAAAACAAATGTAGTAAAAAAATAACCATAACTACAATAATCTGTTATTGGTTACACAATATAAAAAATTTGTAAACTGTAACATCAATAACCTAAATTGTGAGGCATAAAGTTAGGAATACTATTGAAGTTAAGTTTCTATCAGTTTAAAATATGGTGTTATAATATTAAGATATTTTATGTAAGTCCCATGGTAATCACAGGGGAAAAAGCCATAGTAATTACACAAAAGAACATGATAAAGAAGTCAAAACATACTGATACTAAAAGACCTCAAAACACAAAGACAGAAGAATAAGAAACAAGGAACAATGGATCTACAAAACAGCCAGAAAGCAGTTAACAAAATGGCAATAATAAGTCCTTACCTACCAATAATTATTTTAAATGTAAATGGATTAAATTCTCCAATCAAAAGACATAGAATGGATGAACGGATTAAAAAAAGAGCGGGGGCTTCCCTGGTGGTGCAGTGGTTAAGAATCCACTTGCCAGTGCAGGGACAAAGGTTCGAGCCCTGGTCTGGGAAGATCCCACATGCCACGGAGCAACTAAGCCCACGTGCCACAACTACTGAGCCCACGAGCCACAACTACTGAGCCCACGAGCCACAACTACTGAGCCCACGTGCCACAACTACTGAAGCCCACGTGCCTAGAGCCCATGCTCCACAACAAGAAAAGCCACCGCAATGAGAAGCCCATGCACCGCAATGAAGTGTAGCCCCCACTGCAACTAGAGAAAGCTGTGCACAGCAACGAAGAACCAAAGCAGCCAAAAATAAATTTATTTTTTTAAAAAATATCCAACAATATGATACCCACAAGAGACTCACTTTAGCCTTAAAGACATACACAGACTGAGAGTAAAGGGATATGGAAAAAGATATTTCAAGCAAATGCTAACCAAAAAAAGCAGGGGTAGCTATACTTAGACAAAATAGACTTTAAACTAAAAATGGTAAAAAGAGACAAAGAAAGTCATTATATAATGATAAGGGGGTCAATCCATCAAGGAGATATAAAATTGTAAATATTTATGCACCCAACATCAGACTACCTAAATGTATAAAGCAAAACCTAACAGGGCTAAAAGGAGAAATAAACAGCAATACAATAATAATTGGGGACTTTAATACCCCACTCTCAACAATGGATAGATCATCCAGACATAGTCAATAAGGAAACAGCAGATTTGAATAACACTATAGACCAAATGGACATAACATATACAGAACATTGTACCTGATAACAGCAGAATATACATATTTCTCCAGTGCACACAGAACATTTTCCAGGATAGACCAAATGTTAGGCCACAAAACAACCCTCAGCAAGTTCAGGAAGACTGAAATCATACCAAGTGTCTTCTTTGACCATGATGGTATGAAACTAGACATTAATAATAGGAGGAAAACTGGAAAATATATGAATAATGGAAATTAAACAACACTCTTCTGAGCAACCAATGGATCAAAGAGGAAATTAAAGAGGAAATTAAAAAGTATTTTGAAAAAAACAAAAATGGAAACACAACATACCAAGACTTACAGGTGCAGCAAAATCAGTTCTAAGAGGGAAGGTCAAAGCTATAAACACCTACATTAAGAAACAAGAAAGATCTCAAATTAACAATCTAACTCTATGTCTCAAAAAACTAGAAAAAAAAAAGAAAAAGAAGGAATTCCTTGGCAGTCCAGTGGTTAGGACTTGGCACTTTCACTGCTGGGACCCGGGTCAAATCCCTGGTTGGGGAACTAAGATCCCACAAGCACACAGCATGACCAAAATAAAAGAACAAACTGAGCCTAAAGTTGGCAGAAGGAAGGAAATAATAAAGATCAGAGCAGGAATACATGAAATAGAGAACAGGAAGACAATAAAAAAGATTAATAAAACTAGGAGTTCCTTCTTTGAAAAGATAAAATTGACAAACCTTTAGCTAGACTAACCAAGGAAAAGAGAGGGCCGAAATCAACAAACTTATAAATGAAAAAGGAGACATTACAACTGATATCACAGAAATACAAAGGATCATAAGAGGCCACTATGAACAACTACATGCCAACAAACTGAACAACCTAGAAGAAATGAAAAAATTCTTACAGTCAACCGACCAAGACTGAATCAAGAAGAAACTGAAAATCTGAACAG